CAAGGCACAACCTGTCCTCCCGGCTGGCCAGAGCCTCTCCAGTAGACTCATCTGTACAAGGACACTGAATCGTTTGGGCTGGAAAGTCAGAAAGTGCTGTTCACAGAATCACAGAATCACAGCATGGTAGGGGTTTGGAAGGGACCTCTGTGGGTCACCCAGTCCAACCCTCCTGCCGAAGCAGGGTCACCTACAGCAGGCTTGCCAGCACCACGTCCAGGCAGGTCTGGAATATCTCCAGAGAAGGAGCTTCCACAGCCTGCCTTGGCAGCCTGTTCCAGGGCTCCATCACCCTCAGAGGGAAGAAGTTCTTCCTCATGTTCAGACGGAACTTCCTATGCTTCAGTTTGTGGTGGTCCCATCTCTCTGAGTGTGCTGCTCGCTATGAAGACCACTAGACATGGCTCAGACAGGAATCAAGTATCCTCTGGAGCAGTCAGGGAAATCCCTGTTTGTCATGCCTTCTCACCTAGGAGAAGGCCAGGGACAGCATTTCTTGTGTGTCACCCCTCTCTGTCCTGCCAGCAGCTTGGCTGGGACTAATCCAGGCTGGTATTAGACATCTGCTCATGACAAAGGCATCTGGCAAGTCTCTGGGGATACCTCCCTTCCCCTGACGTGCCCACAGATAGAGATCACTGGGCTCCTGGTTTCTCCCTCCACTAGCTTGTCTGCGGTCCCTGTGGTAGACAGCCTGACATAGTCTCTTCTCAAGAGCTTGCTCAGCTGGCCAGAAGGTCACAATGCTGCATCTGAGGAACAATGCCATCCATCCAGCTCTGTGGAGGAGGAAGTGTTAGTTACAATGCCTCCCAGTAATTTGGGACTTGAGTATGGCGTACTCATGCGAGGGTAGGGCCTTTGCGCTGGCGGGGGGCGGGGTGTGGGGGGTGTGTGTGTGAATATGGTATCTGCTATCTTTGCTCTGCTGGTGTGGCACGAATGGCACATATGAAAAGGCAAAATCTGCCCTCAAGTTTCGATTGCTGGTCTCTGGCTTTCTAAAAACAGGCATTTCACTGTGTGGAGGCATGGATGAGGCCACAGAACCAAGCAGTTCCAGCAAATGATGTTGCAAAGCAGCATCCACACGTGCTGCAGCTTCATGTTCGGGATGGCAGGGGCTGCTGGGGCTGAGCAGGAGCAGACAGGACATCAGGACCAGTCAGGAGCACAGGACTTCATCTCGGTCTGCAAGTAGAGCTACAAGCGACATGCTGAGCACGATGTACTGGCTGACAGACAGACACTGCCAGGCCCAGTCTGCGGAATGAAAGGAAGAAAATACATTGAAACAGATCAGAAAGTGCCTGGTTGGGCCAATGTGTTTTGTTGTCTTTGTGTCCTGTGCTGAAGGTATGGTTGGGCTTGATGATCTTAGAGGTCTTTTCCAACCTATGATTCTATGATTCCTCAGAAGAGCTCAGCTCTGGCATCCAGAGAAGAGAGAAGTCTCTGAACTGGCCAGCACTCAGTGTCCAAAAGACTTCAGGAAGCCTGGCCCATCAGTCTGTCCTCTCCAGAAGCCGAGCCTGGAGACAGCCAGACCATCACTTGCAGCGTGGCAGGCTCAGCACTCCTCAGCAGCTGGGCAGAGCTGCTCCTCTCCCCTTCACTCCCATTAAGTCCCATCAGCTGCCACCAGTGAGATGCATCAAAGTGGGTGAGGGGGTGGCTGTGGATGGAAGGAGAGGGGACAGCTGAGTCACCTCTCAGGATGGGTGTAAATGCTCCTGGTCCCTTTGGATATGTCACTGCTGAGATGAGACACAAGGGCACAAATGTGCAGCATCATCGCTGCTTGGGTGAGTCATGAGTTGAGTTTTCCAGTGCAGGCAGCAGCTCTTGGTACCATCACCAGTGCTTCCATGAGACATTTACCAACCTCTGGGACCCGTGAGAGCCTTGGCAATGTTCTTTTTTTCCTGCTTGATTTCTTCTCTCTCTCTTCTGCTGCTGTGTATTTGGTTTCACAGAAGAGCAAGGAAGGCTAGCATCCAAGGATGCTGCTGACTGTGGGGCGAAGGCTCTCAGAGGCAACCCTGGTACAGAGAGCTGCTGTCTCTGAGGAGGTGACATGCTCCTCATGAGGCCCAGTCCCAGCGCTGAGCACTGGATCACTCCATGGAAACCAAAAGAAATATGTTTGCTTCCCATTGAGAAATCGCTTTTCACCGGCCTGAAGTGCTCTGCACTGCCTGCCTCGCAAGGCCACCTCTGCGGTCGCAGCCATGGCAGAGAGCGCAGCCAGGCTGACGGTGTCTGCTTGCTGGGGAAGGAGGCCTGGGCATGGCAGCAGGAAGGGTATGCCATTTGGGATTTGTGGGAAGTTCTTGCCATGCAGGGAATCACTGCAGACCCACAGCCCCCGTGTAGGGTCTTTACCAAAGGCAAGGGAAAGCCTCTCATTTACCCTTACCCCACCTCTTCTTCATCCCGCTTATGCCCCTGAGCATCCCCCCACAACCCTCAGCTCCTGTCCCTAAGCCATGGTCCACTCTGCTGATGTGGCAGCTAAATACCCCACCTTCCCAAAAGCAACCTCTTCCCAACTCTCATTCAGCCCCTGGGTGACCCTGGGCTCCTCTGCGCTGCTTCTGCTCCCAGACCGGGCATCTCTTGCTTCCTTGCACCCTGCAGTCCTTGGAGCAAAGATGTGTACGTACACACCACGTACAGAAGAACCCAGACCACAGTGCTGCTTTCACTGTGACTTCAACAGGACATGAACCTGGGCTGTCGCCACAACGAGTAACATGGCCCTTGGCAAATGTCAGCACCGTGGGGCTGGCAGCCCCCTGCAAGGGGGTATGAATGCCTGGCCTCTCAGTGCACCCCCGGGCTCTGCGACCCCCACCTGCCAGGCTGCCTGCACTCCAGGCCAGCCCTGCTGTGGGATGGCCATGTAACCTGGGATCAGACTGCTGGAAAAACAGGCAAGGCGTGAGAAGGAGCTGTGTGGAGCCTTCACTGGAGCTTCCTCTGCTTTGCTCGGGTGCTGCATTTATGCTTAGATCCTTGACTATCGTCCTTGCCTTGCAGGTAAGCCTGTGCCCAGCCTTGTACCTGGCTGATTCTCACCTTGCCTTGCTGACTTGACTTGCTGGCTTCACCTTAGACCTGCCTCATGACTGCAGACCTCTGTGTCAAGCACTGGACACAGCCATGGACCTCTCTGCTCTTGCTCACATATCACAGGGCTGCATCCTGTTGGTAGGACATCCTCCTGCCAGCTTTGCTGTCACCTTATCTCCTTCCCTTGAGGAGCAGCCCACTCCTGTCCCTGCCTACCAGTTATTATCCCTGCTTTACGGAACGAGCATAATATAATCATTAACGTGTAGGCAGATGGTGGCTGCATAAAGTTGCAACAGCTTTTACTTTTCCTTGCCAGCTGAAATGCAAACTGCCACTCACCTCCCACTGCTCTGGGGATCTATTCAGAATAGCACAGGCCACGTCGTGGCCCACACTGCATTTTCATGTCAAGGTTTCAGAAAGAAACGAGCTCTTCTTCCACGTGAGCAGCTGAGAAGCAATTACTGCCCTTGCTTCTGCAATGGAGGCTTTCACTATTGTGTTTTCTTCTGCACCGGCATCACGCTGAGGACACTGCACAGGATCATTTTCTGCTGATGGATGGTGACTTGCTGAGCTTCAATGACCCAGCATGGGTCTGAGCCCAGGGGCTTGAGGGAAATTGGGTTTCCTGGATGAGTTCTTGCTGAGACCTGACCTAAGTTACTGGGTTTCTAATTTAGTTTATTCCTATGAATTCAAGCTTGCACAGATAGCAACAGTAAAGACACAGAGGGAGCATCCTCTGTTCAGACTCTGCACCGAGGGTTCGCAGCCTGAACCCCTCCTTCCTCTGCTTTCCATACAAGTAGTCAGCACCAGCATGGGGTGCATCTGTTTTCCTTGTTGCTCATGAAAACATAGATCTGGGGAAGGGAGGGGGTTAATCTGGGCCTTCCTTAGTCTTGAAGGTAGGGGTCAGGTGCCTGAGCAACCCCCAGGCATTATAAACATGGGCCAACTGGTCTCAGACTTTCTGGAGGATGCACTAGCTGGATCCACTGGCTCCAGACAGCAGTAACTACTGGAGAGAAGGGAGCAAGAGCGTGTGATTAATGGTGTCTTGCCTCAAAATCTGTAATCTTATGTCATTGGGCCCTTGGTCCATTAAAAGGTCTTCCTCAAAAGACGCTGAGCCTGGCAGGAGCTCCACAGTGTGTCTGCAGAGCCGTTTTTAGTCCTCTTGTTGTGTATTCATCATGTTAGCACTCACCATGAACAGCTAAATGCTCAGTGCAATAGCTCTGGCTGGTTCACCCTTCACCTATATTCATTCTCCACACTTTCCCTAGCAGCTTGAGGGGAAAAGTGAGTTTTAGTACGTAGTACATGGCTGTGCAGAGAAGTCCACATCCAGGGATGTGCTGGGTTCAGTAGTGGAAAATTTCTGAAGCTCTCCCGAAGCACAGTCTCCCCTGCCCCATTGTAACATCCCTCTCAGATATCTCAGAGCTTAGGCTGAGCGGGACATCCCAGTGTGAACACTAGTACTGATGCCTATGTGATACTATGCTCCTGTCCCAGCCTGTGCTCCCTATCTTGCAGGCTTTGGTGGGACACTGTCTCCTGCAACCATAATCCCATCTACCAGAGAAGGCACCCCAATGGCGTCTGGGTGAAGATGTGGGATTGAGCTGCTCTGATGTTTCCAGTCCTCCCAGGAGATAAAGAGACACCTTAAAATATTTGGTTATTTTTAATAGCATAAACGTGTTAGCAACTGTGTGTGACAGAAGAGCCAGAAAGGTATGAAGCTTCACTGGTGTAACCTACAGTGGAGTCTCCAATATCTGTCGTGTCCTCTGTCCTCCTCTTTCGCTTCCCAACCTGCTGAGCCTTTGCTGGCAAAGCATGTCATGTTGGCATGTCCCTTACAGCTCCGTAGGTATAGCTGCTCACTGGTGGTTCTGCCTCTCCTTCCGTTACACCTCCGTAAGGATGTCTATGTGGTCTTGGATATACTGCTGAATCTAGGGTGGGGAAGAGAGATGGCAGAGCTCAGAGCAGGGGTGTGAACAGGAGGAAGAGGGGAGCTTGTTGGCCCTTTTGGAGGGCAAATTTCAGTAATCAAACAGAGCAGGAGGGTAGGCATTTGCCTTGCTGGATCTGCACCACCAGAATGGGCTTTCATAGATGAGTCTGAGTTCAGGGCAAGGGTGAATGAAACCAAACCTTGGCTACGGGTTGATCTGCACGCCCTGCATCCCGTGCCCCAGCCTGCCTGGGTTTCACTCCTTCTGCCTCCATGGGGACCTACACCCTGCTCTGCTTCCTTGGAAAAGACGGGTTTGCATGGTGTTGTCTGCCCATTCCCCATGCCCAAGAGAGCCCAGGTGAAAAGGCAGGTGTGTGTTGGGCACATTGATTTCACTGCGCTCCCCTCTCCCTTTGGGCAGCTAAGGGTCATCACTGCTCCTCTTTCTGGGCAGGGAGAAGGGGTCTGGCTTGGCTCTACCACGTCTACCATGTCCAGTTGTCTGTGGCTGTCATCCACCGGCACGTTCAATTTTGCTTTCAGCTGCATGCTTATGCACTGGGAGAGGCTGAGGATGGCCAACTTGATGGTCGCCAGTTCCTGGTTTTTCTTGGCAGTCATGTTCTGGATGTCGGCCCAGCGAGTTTCCTGAGAGGAGAGGAGACATGCAGCATGGGAACATGCCCTAGTAAAGATGCTGCTTCAGCACCAGAGACCCTGGCTTGGAGACCTTAACTTCCACACTCCTCTGTTTTGCTCGGAAGAACCTGTCCTTGCCCAGGGCTATGGTGGAGGTGGTTGAGCTTGGTGTGGTGGAAGCAGATCCAGGAACCACCACAGGTGCTTCTTGCCCTAGGAACCTCCCCATGTCTCTGCCAGCTCCTGCAGCCCTCACTCTAGCAGTGATAGCTGGTACCCTGGGAGCAGCACATCCCACTGCCACCCTTGCAGATCAGGTGCTTTCCAGCTTTGCCTGATGGGGCCCAGCTCCTGAAGCTGAGTGCATGCCTGCCCCCCGAGCCATGGCTACATATTGATGTGCCTCATTACAGCCTAGTTTACCACCAGTCTGGTCACTTTTGGAATGGTAAGGGGGGAGGAGAAGGGGTGAGCCCTGGTGGGCAGATGCTGTGCAAAGGATGAAAACAAATGACAAAACTCAGCAAAACCAACTTCAATCTGAGGCCTGAGCCGTGAACAGTGGAGACCACGAGGCATGCCATGCTGAAGCCCCATTACAGTGATTATGCTGCAAGGAATAGTGAATGGAAATAAGTAGGACCTGGCTAGACAAAACCAGTGGGCACATGGTGGAGTATGCTTGGGTTTTGTGCCAAGGCAGACCTCCCCAAAGCCTGGTTAGCTGATCTCTTTTGACTATGACTTCAAGCAAGAAGTGAAAGATTATGATGGCTTTGCGAGGGCCTTGTTTTAACCCCTGATGTAACCTGCTCCAGACCTTGTCTGTCATTCTTCATTCTATAACCCCTTGGAGGGATGAAATTAGGCATCTCCTCCAATCAAAAAGACTGCTGCTGGGCCTTGCCATGAGCCCATGGCTTAGAGACGAGCCATCAGCTTGTCTTGACACAGCCAGGCCTTGGAGGTCTTTGCCTGCCCGCCCCACATTTCCTTACCCAGAGGAGGACGTCACTTCGAGCCTGATCAAAATGTAGTTGGAGCTGCACCAGTTCAGTTTTGTACTGCAAGATCTCAGCTTCTTTCTCTGCTGTGTACTGGTCCAGGAGCACCTTGGCTTGCTCAGTCATTTCCTTGTTCTTATGTTGTGCGTGCAGCAGGTCATTGTGCATCTTCACCAGCGTCTTGTAGCGCCAAATGACATCCTCCATCTCCTCAAACTGCAGCGCAGAGCTCCTGGTGTTAGTAATCCCCCTGCCCTCCCCTCACCATGACTGCAAGTCTCATGCTCTTTGGCACCCCACCCTGACCAGGAGTGACACCTCCCCCAGCTGAAGGATCTTCCCTTCTTGATGAGACTATTGCCCCAATTGTTTTGTGAGCATTGCCACATTCCCAGTGTGATGACATCTCACTGTGCCAGTCCCAGAGCTGTCACCGCCATAAGCAAGGGGAGATATTGCACCTCTTCCCCAGGTGAGCAGTGCTCTGAAAAAACACAAAGCACAACTGCAACTGCCAGCGCCGAGTCCCCGAGACGTGGGAGTGGGGCAGCTGGGACTGCAGGAGTATAAGCGATGCATGGAGTGGTGCTTGGGCATCCTTGAGAGAGGGCACAGCTTTTTTGACAACTGCCTGAATTTTGATTGCCAGGAAGCTTTTCAATTCTCCCAAACCATCAAAGTGACACAAAACAGTGACACACAGGGGTCCCCATTCCCCTCAGCCCTGTGCTTTTCCCCCTTTGAACATTTTTTCTTTGCTTTTCTCAAGCCTTCACCTGCTTTTCCAGTTCTCCACCCCTAATTCTGGTCCCCTTCGCTCACTTTGGTCGCAGGGAACCTCTTCCCATCCCACCTGACGTCTGTGTTATGATTTCCCTGGACTTACCTTATCTCCTCTAGGTTTAACAACCACATAAGGCCCTCCTTGAGGCCATGACCTGTCTCTCTCATGTCCAAACTCACCTGTGAGATCTTCACCACATCATCCAGATATTTCTTGAAGATGGAGTACTTCTGCACTCTGTTGTAGAGTTTCTGATGCTGATTTTTCAGGGCTTCCAGTTCCCTCTTAGCTCTCAAAAGCTCAGTCTCCTTTTGCATCTTCACTTCTCTCTCTTTGATGGCTTTGTTCAGAGCTTGGACTCTCATCTTTTCCCTTTCCTGGTGATGTTCCCCCACCAAAAGACACACACATGTGCACACACACACACAGGGAGAAAGGAAGGCAAGGGAAGATGGATCTAGGTCACTCAACAGCACTGGGAGGAGATACCCTCACAGAGGAGAGACCCGTATTGGTGCATCCCTGGGAGCATTTTCACTCCCCGTATAACAGGGCCATGCCTCTTGCATTGACTGTTTTGTCTTGAAGACAGGCACCTAGGACGGCACTCTGATTTTCAGACCTACTGATATCTGTTCCAGGAAGACACCTGGGTGTCAACAGTGAGGACAGGCTGAGACCCTTCTGAGGGGATGCTTGGGGCCCTCAGGAGATCACACGGGTACAGGACAAGCTTTCCCCCACCCAAGTGCTACCAGGCTTTCCACATCTGTGGTATGAAACCCTGTGTCCTGCCAGTCCTGTTCCTCACACTACCAGGCTCAAGAGAGGCCTGGACAGATGCAGTGGCCCAAGACTGTCTCCCCAAGGGAAAGCAGGAGCAGGTGGTGATATGGCTCAGGATCATGTCAGCCAAGCTAATCAGGAGCAGGTGTACCTCTATAATCGTCCCAGATTTCTCTATGTAGGTTTTCAGCTGAGCCTCCTTGTCATGGAGGTCTCTCCACCGGCAGGCTATGGCTTTCATCCCCTCCTTGAAGGCCTGGCAGCAGCAGAGTGATTGTGACATGGCTGCCCACACCTGGAGCCAGGCAGCTGCCTGCTGATGTCCTGCAAAAAACCACAAGAGCTCCCAACCATGCCCCATCACCCTCCCATCTTTCTCACCAGTTTCTTCTCCTCCAGAGCCTTTTCCATCTGTTGGAGTTGTTTCTTCGTCTCCTGGAGGTGAACAAGTGTAGACGGGGAGTCCTCCTCTGTCAGTCTGAGTTTCCTGCCACAGAAGTTTTCCTTGAGGTTACACGCTGGGTCCAGTACCTTGGCAGCGTGTTGGATTGCCCTGTCCTGACTGTGTCCTGGGTGGGGTGATGGGGCAGAGCAACCCAGCACTGTCTCAGATCCCATCTGGTAGCATGGCATGTCCACCTCTCCCCAGCAGGGATCCCACTGATAGAGCAAGGGGTGTTGCAGGGAGGAACAGGGTTGGGGCAGGGAAGTACAAGCAGAGACTGAAGTGGTGGAAATAAGGGATGGGAGTTTGCCGCAGTGGGGGAAGGAGGGTTGGAGGAGATGGGGGAAGAGGACGGAGGGGATGGAGGTGGATGAAGGATCCCCCTCACCTGAGCAAGGGCAGGAGCTTCTGCCTGTACTGTGTGAGGTAGTAGGCTTCCAGGTCCTCATCATCCATGGTGGCCATCACACCAGAGGAGCCCAGAGAGCCCAGGTCCTCCCAGCACTGCTCCTCTCCCATGTCAGCCCAGGAGCTGCCCTGCAAGCCGGAGGGCTTTGCAGTGCGGGCAAGTGGCAGTCAGGCAGGGAAAG